GGGCTTCAGCAGACAGGTTTGGCTTGATATCAAGTCCTAGATCTTTCTCTCAGTCTGTTTCGTGAAGGACTTCATCTCCCATTCGGTATCCAGTGTCTGACCACCTATTTCCTCCGCCTAGTTGCGTCTGCAGACACACGAGTCGAGAAGCAAAAAAAATGCTAAACTGCATCCCACAGGAGCGGCGTGAACAGCCTCAACAATGCAGACGACGCACGCACAGCAGATGGCAGTACACCAGATCCAGAGGCGGCCCCAAGCACCTCCACATCCAGCCCAAGCCAATCCGAGAACAGCTTGAGGAGGGAAAAGAAACGCAGGGTCGAAGCCAGCAGGCCACGTGTATGCAAATCCTCCGCGACCAAAGCAGCCGAAATGGAAGGAGCCTGCACATGAAGCTGCATCACACCAACATCCCGCGGAAGGGCAAGGGCGAAGAAACAAGCATTGAGATGCTCGAAGTTGCCCCCCTAGGAAAACCTGCAAAGCAGTATGAGCCTCCCTCCACTCAAGCACGCGGGATCGACAGAACGTGTGCTAAGCCTCCAAAGAGAAGAACGGGCAGTCTGTCAACCAGGGGCCAGATTCATGAAGCAGGTATGCAAGCACTTACAAAGCTGTACATCTTTTCTCAATCTTTGGTGACCTTGTTTACAATTATTAAACAGTTAATGAGCTCCGAAGCACCAGGAGGCTGTTTATAACAATAACAACAGTTGGGAAGTTTTCATGCTTGTAAATTGTTTTGAGCAGCATCTTCAATAAATGTAAATGTAATAATTTATAATAAATGTAACAAAGCCATCAAAGATTGAAGAAAGATGTACACATTCGTAAGAGCTTGTGTAACTGCTTCGTGAATCTGGCCCCAGGACAACTCCAGAACTTCATAACGAGCCCAGTATGGACACAAAGACCCGTACACGAAGGAACGCGGATCCATCACGAAAGCATAATCCGGGTCGCGCTGGTGGTAAGCAGCAAAGGCTTCCTGCACCACTTGTGATGGGACTCGGGAAGCCGAAAACCTCTAGAAGGACGGGACTGAAGAACCCAAGGGATCACAGAACCGAACCTGAGGAGGGGTAGACACCAAGTCCAACTCGTACGAGGAGGGAGCGAAAGAGAACCCCTCTCCTTGTAACACCAAGCCCTGCTTCAAGGGTAGAAAACCCCAGACAGGGTCGAATGGGGTCCAAGGCTCCCCAGTCAACCCCTTCCCCACCCCGGGAACCTCATTCTAAGGACCCGGGGCCTAGCCGGCCACCCCCCCCCCCACCTCTGGGAGCCGCCAAAAAAGTAGGAACGAAGGGGGCCTACTATTCAGACCCAGAAGCTCCGGCTGGAGGACTAGGCTTGAATGCCTCCACCGCAACCCCAGAAGGAGACTCCCCAGAGACCGCCTGAGTCTTAGCACCAACTAGACCCTGCCCCGACTCCGACACCCTCAGACGCTTCGGGGGCGGAAGCAAGAAGAGAGGAACTGGATGCACAACAGAAGGGAAAGGACTAGGAGGGATGGACAGAACCAAAGCTGAAGTGACTCCCTCCCCAAAATCCGGGTTCCTAAAACCAAAACGGGGCAGTCTCGGGGCATCTGGGGCCTGCAACCAACCTAAATCTAGCATGCAATGCAGCAGCTGCCTGCACCCTCATATTATGTTCAATAGCTTGGGTGAACTGGAACACGTACAGACAACAAACGTCACACGACTCCAGGCCAAAAACAATAACCGACCCAACAGGCAGCATAGCAGAGGCAAAACCGGTGAGTGTCGCCCTGAGACAAGGGGACAGAGCAACCTTCAATCTCCCAAGAAGCGAGAGGGGACTCAAGGATCACATCCATCAAATCACGGAGCCCCCGTGGGGTTTTCCAGGGCTCTTAGCCTTCTTAACACGATAAGGGTAGCCCAGGTAGGGTACTGCGAACTGGCGCTCAAGTCTACCAAACAAACTTTCAAAAGCTGAACCCCTGGGATGTGTCCACTCACTGGGGCCTAGTTGGGAACACCACCAACACACACCCCAACAACAGAGGAGTGGCAAGGCTTCCCCACTAGGCAGGAACAAACAAAAACAAAAGAAAAACTCCACATGAGGACAACGTACCCAGGCGGAACAGAACCTGCCTCTATAATAAGTGATAACTAGCTGTGCAGTATCCCGCGCCCCTACCAGTGACGAAAACTACCTCCTACCCAGAGACAAACAAGGACAATAAAACCCCCAGCTGACCCCAAGGGCGGCCAAGTACTGAGCAGTAAAAGACACAGCGGAGGAAGATCCCAAGGTGACTTGTGGAAGGATACCCCAAGCCCCAAGGGCAGTACTTACTGGGCACCTAAGGAAGGGAACCCTAGGCGCATGCAGCCCGAGTACCGTGGAATATTTCTCCTGACTCACACACCACCTGTAGAGGCACACAACTTCTCCAGAATCGCATCAGCCAAGAACTGCCGGTTGGATCGTAGGCACGCACGGGGAAGGGGGGGGGGGGCTGTTGTGCAGACGGCGACATGACGACATCATGCTAGTTTGCTAATTTTCGTTTGGGGAGTTGTCCACTTGTTCGGCTTTCAGTAGCAATAGTTTCCCCAGTAATAGGGGTTTGTTTTGGAACGCCAACCTTGGTTGTCAGACCCGGTCGATGGCAGACATAGAATGCTCCCAACTACATGGGGTTTCTATAAGACATTGCTCCTCGCGCCTCTCTGAGGAAGCCAGGTTCTTGCTCAAGGTCCCCGGTAGCCCGCTAGGCAGAACTCCACGCACATTGACTGATGCCAGAAAGCCAGAAAGTTCTGCATATCCATTCAGGCTGTATAGCTCCGGGGAGCCGATGTGGCATCACCATCTTTGAAAAAAATCATGGGAAACATTCCCGGGTGTGAGAGCCTAAATACTAAGTGAGCAACCAAGGCTGGCACACACACAGCATGAGCCAACAGCACTGCTGTTTAGTTTGTGAACACAGCATCTCCTAAAAATCTCAAAATATATATGTACCTGCTATTATTTAGTGATGATAGTATTACAGAAGACCCCTGACTGATAATAATGACCAGAATTCTGATAATAGCAGGAGTGTGGTGATAATTAGCACTGTGCATAGTATGGTGGAAGGAGTAATCTTGGTGAGGAAGGTAGTGTCATCTGCTAACTCTGTGCGGCCACGTTTTATTGTCTGAACTCACCATACCAGCTTAATGGTTTGCTATGAATACAAATGTAGATACATATATATAGTGTGTATTAGTGTAATAATATAAGGAGTATGTTGGGAGGAGCCATTCTGGTGAGGGAGGTGGTGTCATCTGCATGATTTAGTTATGCTGTGTTGGATGACCATATGCTCTTTGGGAACCATTCCAGCCTAGTTTTTCTGTCATATCTTCAAGCTGAGTAGCCCCTTGGGAATACGTCCTCATTTAAAATATGATCGTCAAGTTTCGTCTCTGTTAATGTGATAATATCTGGGACCTTAAGCTGAATTACATCTTTCAGCTCCAATATTTTTTTTATCTCACCCCATTTATGTTGGTATATATTTTCAGGAACATGTTCCCCTTACCGTTGTTCTTTACTCCCCCATCCTCTAATGATTTTGTTGCTTTGGTTTTATGTACCATTTCACTAGCTTTCCGGTCCCTAACACTTTGTAGAAAAAAAAAAATTTCTTCATTTCTATCCCCCCATTTAGAAGTTTTGCTTCAATGAGGTTTATTTTCACCTTTTCTCTGTCTTCCTTTGAGAGGTCTTTTCTTATTGACCAAAGTTTGCCATCCTCATCAAACTGCAATTTCCTGGCATTTCTAAGCACTACCGTCATATGTTTCAATCCATTAACGTCACCCTTAAGGGGCGGTTCTTGTCTCATTTTCCTATCCTCCAAAAATCGCTGACACTTTCCTTTGAATTTAGGCCTTCTCCTAACCTTACTATTTTCTCTATGATTCTCATCTCTTCTGCTGCTCTGTCCACCCTAGATGAAATTTGCTTCTCTTAAACACCCAAAAATTATTATGGGCTTACTTCTATCTGCAGTGTTTTGTAAGGTGGAGGTTTCTAGTTTGACTTCCAAACACACTTCCTTGATTGTCTCTTTCATTCTTACAACTTGCTCATACGTCTCTCTTATTTCTTCTTTATACTTTTCTAGTTCTTTATTAACCTCCTCTATATGAGTTGTCAAAGGTAAGGTAAGGTAATTATCAAAAGAAGGCACCAAACCGGGAAGGCTATGTAGCACCATCAAAGTGCGAAATAATCAGAGGGCGCTAAATATCACCAAGAATGCCGAGTTGTCAAAGAAGTTTCTCCTTCCATATCCTTGCCCAACTCTCTATTGGTCTTTAGGGTGCCTTGGAGTTGTTCACCATATGAGTATTTTCTTGTTAATTAATTTCTTCAAATTCACCTCTCTTCACTTTCCATGCCTCATTATCTTTCATTAGTTCCTTGATGTATGCCTCCTGCATCCTTACCTTATCAGTCAAGCAGGTAATTTCCTTACCTTGCTGGAAAATACTTCCCTTTAAATTACAAAACTCAATCTTGAGACATTCATTTACTTGTTCTAATTTAATTACCTTTTCTTCATAATTCTTTAGCATGTCCTCAATAATCACTAACATGACGACAAAAAAAAAAAAAAAAAAAAAAAACTTTCATTAGATCCTGTGCTGAGAATCCTTCAAAACATTCCTTTGTTAGTGTACTGTCCTCCTCTGTGGTGACTGTCATCTTTGTTGTTGACATTCTGCTGTATTGTAAGATCAACTCTTCTAGCCCAGATTTATCACTCACTCACACTTATTTCTTGTTTCTTAGATTATTTTCAAATTCCCTACAAATTAATTAATTGAGTGAGTGAGTGAGTGAGTGAGTGAGTGAGTGAGTGAGTGAGTGAGTGAGTGAGTGAGTGAGTGAGTGTGAGAGAGTGAGTGAGTAATTACTTAAGTGTAGTTACAGGAAGAGAGCTACGCTCGTGGTGTCCCGTCTTCCCAGCACTCTGTCATATAACGCTTTGAAACTACTGACGGTCTTGGCCTCCACCACCTTCTCACCTAAATTGCTCCAACTGCATGTGTGTGTTGTGTGTTTGTTAGGAAGGAGTGATTATACATGAAAATAGAAAAATGGAGTTGATGAAAAGATAACCACAGAGGAAAAATTAAATAGGAGTCACTAAGAGATTTCATGTGTACTGTACTTAACTACAAACCCTCAAAAGATATGTTGTTAAACAAATTAATTTACAGACAGACACCCAAAGATTAAGTTAGGAAGCTTCATAACATGTGCAATAATGATTATCACTTCCAATGAAAGGTTTTTAAAATACGGCTTAAACCTCTCAAAATATAAAATAAATTCAGTAAATCCAAATCGATCCCAAAACTTGATTATCGTCCAGGATTAGCTGTTGGAACTCAGAATATTGTGTATCTTTTCATTAACCTCCACCTTTGAACTATAGAGGCACAAATTTAATAGGACCACTTTGCATTTTCATATAAATACAAAATAAGTAATACAAGAATAACATTCAAGATGGTGGTATTACTAATGTACCCGTAAGCAAAATAAAGTTTCTCTTATGCATGAAAATATCGATAAAAGAGAGCTCCTCCTCCCAAACCAAGTACAACAAAGGCAACACACAGGGAAACTGGTCGCATTATTAACCTCTTTCTCTCTTGCCAAAACTCATTGACTCGTTGTTTTTCTACCATGGCCTTGACTTTAGCTGCAGTTGCTGCTGTTCGTTCCCGTTGTTTTCGTCGTCGAACATCATTTTCCTTGGACCTAAAAAACAAAAACCACAAGCTTTATTAGTTTCATAAAGAAATGCAACTTTATTATAGAATGATAGTACAAGTAAAATTAATTATTGTGGTATTGATTCCACAACTGGTTTCTTTTAGAATGAAAATTAATAAAAGGTGTATGCATAAAGAGTCACGCTGTAAGCCACTACTGTTTCAGGACTTTTAAGAAACTGATTATGTTGACTGCAGAAATCAATTTGGATAAATTTTTGATCCACCATGTGAAGAGAATGCAATTGAAGATTATTATGAAGCATATCAAGACTGTTGAAAGGCAATGCAAATGAAGTCGAAGTATTCCAAATATGGAATAACTGGGAATGAAAGAATAATTCAACAATAACTTTTTTTTTTTAAATAGCATACTATATTTGCAAACAGCAGGGATTAGAGATAATTATGAAATTCTGTATGTAATAACTTTAGGGGCACACTTGCCTCCTTTATCCACCGTCAACACTTTTGGCCGTCGGTGACGGATATTGCGTCCATAAATAACTCTACGGATGTCCAGCGAAGACGCATTTTGCGTCCAAAATTTAAATATTTGTTAAAATTACATTTTGTTTCCGATCATTATGGGACATGTTTTAAAATGTGCGCCAATGTCTTCCCATTTTCTGTGATGGCCCATGTGGCATCACAGCACCGCCTGCCACGTGGTAGGTAGGTTGAGCCAGACAGGGACCAAAGCAACCCTCCCACCTCCAATCGATTCAACAAACCTCGATGTAACAGTCTGAATGGAACTGAGCAACAGAGCCATAGAAATCTGTATCTATCACAGGATATGCCACACGGCCATAAATGCTTGCACAGGAATATGCGCACCCGACAAAAGAGGGGAGAACAAAAACCCCAAACCACAGCGACAATCACTGGTGACCCAACCTCGCCAAAAGCAAGGAAGACTGGAAAGACGTCGAGCACAAGCAGCGAAAGTGCCAGGGGATCAAATCCTAAAAGCTCAAAGAGGAAGCAGGAGACTCAGAAACCAATAAAGGGCCAATGGAGTCCACATCCAGTGGTCACAGCAGCGGGAAAAAAGGGGGGCCCTGAAGGAAGCAGCCCAACCCCTGAAACCAAATGGTGCCCAGGGAACAACAAGTAGGGCAAGATGAGGCTCCCGCAAAGCCGCCAAGAATCCTGAGGCCAACTCAACACCAACAACCAGCAGTGCTGCAGCCGGGACAGAGCCGTCGGAGGCAGGAACAGCAACACCAACTGAGAGACTAGTTGAGGATCAACCAAGTCCAAACCTGGCCCCGAGTCAACTGGGACTTCCACCAAAATACCAGGAACATGAACCTGGTGATCAGGGAAAGAACCAGACTCCTGGCTAGCAGACACGAGGACTGACTGGGACACCAAACCATCCAGTCGTCGAGGCAGGCCAAAAAACCCAAGAGACAAAGACGGGTCATCACGGCCCGAGCCAAGTGCGAGAAAATGCACGGAGTCAGAAGAAAGCTAATGGAGAATATGGAAGCAGGAATCCCGAGGCCCCACCACAAACCGGAACTAATCCCTGAACCAAGGATGGAAGGGAAGCACCAAGAAGCATCCAGGAGGTCCACGGACCCAGGCACTTGGTCCATGAGCGAGGTAGACTTGGGACAAAATGGTCTACGGAAAGAAGACAAGGAAGAAAATGGTTCAACCGCGAAGGGCTGAGAAGAACCAGAATGAATCGATGGCGGCATGGAGGAGAGGCTAGTTCACAGACCAGAACCCCTGAAGAGAGAGAGACTGACCATCCCTACCAAAGGCTGACAGGATGATGCTGATGCAGAATACCAGCTTAGTTATTCGTTATGGTGAACAAAACATGCAAATACTTATATATAATTTATGTATATAGTGTAATACAGTAACAGCAAAAATATTTTTTATGGTTTTACGCACATAATAATTGAATCACTAATATGCACACCATACTTTTGAGAATAGCTATGGTTACCTTGAGGTTACCTTGAGGTGCTTCCGGGGCTTCGTCGACCAGGCCTCCTGGTTGCTGGATCATGGTTCACACATTTATTATACAGTATAAATATATCACACTACACACTATTGAATAATATAACAAAAAAAAAAATCAATCCGAGATATTGAGTAAGTAATATCATCTTTGTGGCAAATTCTGCCTGACAGCCCAGGTGGATGAGACCGCCCGGATACCTACTCTGTCACCGCCTGAATCTTGCCCGACTTCTAACCCTATTGCAGTCAAAATATGTCACCGACGATTTTTTATTATTTTTCCCGAGATCAAGGAACACATTTTAACCCTTAAACCGCTCAAAATATACATATATTATTTGACATAACTCAAGTTTTTAAAACTTGCACAAACACTTTCCAACTTTGTGCATAATCAACTAGGCAAATGCTCCAACGTTTTCTAAATGATCACAACTTAACTTGAAAAATAAGAGAATCAAAAATCATTTATAATTGAATACTGAAAACTTCAAATTTTCAAATCAGAATAAAAAATATAAACTATCACCAATTGTTCATTTGGTGTTACAGTATTATTCTCTCAAAATAGCATGTGATCTTCATTTTCATCAAATTAGTAGGCATCCTTCAGTCTCAGGAGATTATGGAGTTGCGCTCTGGTTGTCAATCCTAGTGCAGCGTCTGGTGTAACTTATGAGGTCGATCCGAGAATATCAGTCCATCCCACACAAACGAAGTCCGATTCTGGTTTGTCTTCCTGGCTACCGACTATCCTTCTCTGTCTCTTTGCCTCTGATTTCTTGGCAAGTGACTCCTCGAACTTGGGGAGACCTCTTTGAACAGAATGCCCCCAGGCTGGGGGCAGTCTGTTCATCAAATTAGAATATAGGTTTTCAGTATAGTTTACTGTAAAAAAAATCATCAATATGGCATTTGAAATATGCTGCAAATTTAGACCAAAAAAATTACAACTCCAAATGAATAGGGTTTATGAAAAATACATTCTGAAGGGATTGTAGAACAGACAGCCAAGCACACAACATGTCAAAATGGTGAGAATCGGTCAAAAACTGGAATTTTAGAAGCCACTCAAAGTTGAAACTCTAGTTTCAGAGATAATTGAAGTTGAAGTTATCGACAATGAATAAAGGTAGCTCTTATTCGTTAATTTAATTGTATGTTTTAATAAACATTGTTTGGCATTTGTACTCGAATATGTGAAAGTTGTAGGCCAATATGTGTTGAAATGAAGTCAAGAAAAATAACCCCTCCCAAAATAAACAAAATATAGGGATAATTATAATGATTTAGAGGATATATTTAGGGTATACTTTATATAAGTGAAAAAGCCCTAATCTGGTCCCTAATCATCAAAACAACCAGTCGAAGAAAATAGAGTTTGAAATCTGGGAAAAAATTGGCCAAAAAATAAAAAAATCAAAGTACCAAGTTCTGCGAGTTGAGACCGATTTATATGTTGACCAATTTCATTCTATCTTCACATAGTTAGGGAAGGGTATGAACTCTCCAGGATGTAAAGGTTACAACAAAATCAGATAATAAAGGAGAAAAAACTAAAATCTTAAAAAAAAAAAAAAAAAAAATATATATCTTTGGGACATTGATGAAAGTAACATATATTAACATTGGACCATGTATTTATATGATATATAACAAAATAGAGCATAAGAACATTGTTACTCATTATTATTTCTGGTATTATGTATTACTCAGCAATGCCATAAGGCACCAGCTGCATATCCACTTTGTGGACGCTCCTTAGTACTATTTTTCTTTGTGCGTCGGACAGGTGCTTGCATCTCTATTACTGCATTATCCCTCAGTTCCAGTTAATAGGAGCTGTTCTCCTTATCAACAAAACATTCTTATTTTTTAAAAATTTGTCTAAAATCAATTTCTGAAAATATTTTTATGAATGTTTCACGATGCTGAAGCCAATAAGTTGGAGATTTGTTTAACATTAAGTTATTTTTACATAATTCAAATATTTTTTGCTTCCAGGCCCCCAATATGCATGCGGTTTAAGGGTTAACAATCTTAGAATGAAAAACTAATTTTTTTACCTTTTCTTTCTTGCAGAAAGTGGGTGCTGTCGGCTATTAATAGCTGCGCTGCCCGGGATTAAAGAAACTTGGAAAACGCACAACAGAGCCCAAGTGAAGAAGAGCATGGAGGCCAACCGCTGCAACTGAAGTCAATAGCAAAGAAAATGCACAAAGCAGAAGCACTCCAACAGACAGAAAAGAACAGAGTAAACAGGCAGCATGAAGGGGTCCAAAAGACAGGCCTCCAAAACCCTCGAAAAACATGCTCAACCTTGTACAACTCAAGCGAGCAGGGCCAGCTAACATACCAGGGTCCGAGAGAACTGAATATTGTCTGTTAGTCAGGAAGACTCTGGAACCTCACAACGCACCCAAGAAGGGAAGGGGCGACCTGAACTGAGAAAAAGCAGAGACCATTGACAGGGTAACTGGGTCACACTGGAAGGATGGAAAAATGCGAAGAGCCTCCCGAAGGTGAACCCGTGAGGAAGGAAACCTCAGGAAGAACACCCCTGGCATAGTCACAGGCAAACCTAGGGAAAAAGGAGCTGCACACAAACCAACACACACAGGAATGAAGGTGTAAGAAAACCCCACCACCTGGAACCAAAGATCCTACACAGAAATGCTAGAAATGATGAAAGATCAAAGGGGACCTCGGCCCCAACACCAACTCCCCCAACTGCCTGAAATTGCAATGCAGAGCCCAGGAGCAGAGCCATCGTCCTTCCCCACCACCCAGGAAAGACCGGCTGAGTCCAGGGAAAAGGCCTTGAAGGAAGGGGCCAGTTGGGAAGAAGGCCCAGAAGCTTTGGTAGGACTGAAAGGCTCAACTGCCTCTGCGCTTGAATCAGAAGGCGCAACCCTCAAAGCCACCAAAGCCTCAACCAAAGCTAAGCCCCACCCAGACATCTTAGGGCCATAAGCAGGGATGAGGAGAAATGGCCCA